GAGCCAGTTCCATGGTGATGTTTCAAGTAGATCTCCTTTTCCTAGTAACCCCCCACCTATGACGACAACCTCCAATGTCCGTCCAGCTTGTCGCGGCCATTGCGCACTTTCAGTCACCAGCCATAGAATGACAAAGGTATATCTGAACCACTATGGACTGATCTCTTCGTCAGTGTTGTTGGCCAGGCTAACGATCTGCCTTGGTATGAGCTGCTCGGTGTTGGTCGGCCACAGGTAATGCGCTTCAGGATGCACATTGTGGCATTGACTGAATAGCGACCCTTATATACGAGTAGATGGCCGTTCTTCCAATGACCATTATAGCAACAAACGCCTGTTACAAAACTGCATATATAAGAGGTCATTTAAACGCAAGACCAATTTGAACGGCGTGGCTATCTCAGTTGCTTTGCAAAGCGAAAAAGCACGGTAGCAGATCCTCTAGGAATTTTACTTTGACAGAGGGACCGGCGCTAGTAGCTGGCCGGCCCCACCTGCGCCAATACTCCCAGATAAGCCCGCTGTCAAGGGGTGCATGTGATTGTGCCCAGCTCCCTCTCTTGCTGGCAGATCCTCTGTGCAAGACCCATTCATGGGTATAAAGGGCGTGCATCCATGTTCCAAAACCACAAAACGGGGGCTTGGATGGAGACAAGTACATAGCGCTGAGCGTGTGAACTGGAGGGCGCGGACCATACAAACTGCTTTGCTGCAGGTCTCAAACAAATTCGAAGATGCAACAAGGCAGTTTTGCACTCTTGGGCGCCCTCCTTTACTAAATGGAGTGCTGTAGATCTACCCAGGGCAAGTGAGGGACATACCACTCAATGCAAGAACGGAACATATAAACGGTGGATAGAGCGCTGCTGGTTGGCTGGCGCTTTGTGAGTGGGCAGTTAATAGCCGTAGATTTCGTGCTTATGACTCGCGTTGGCACTGGGGAACAAATGGGTTTCAAGCATGTTGCGGTCCAAATTTAGTATACGCCCAAGCATCGCCCTCTTTGCAGAACTTCCCATCATCACACGACGACGCAAATCCTTAGTCGCGCTTGTATGCGCACTGTATCCCACCCACCAACGATTCGGTCGCTAATCCCTGCCGACACCACCGGCTGGCTAGAGCCTTCCACTGGCAGCTTCAAACACAAACAGCACACTTGTAAACTGTCTGTTCTCAGAAACCATGTGCGCTATAGATGACAGGAAGATAACATGTTGTCGCATCCTTTGCATCCAAATGAAAACAGAGACACATCGGTCGGCTCGATACGTGCTGCTATAGGCTGTTAAACTCCAGTTCGGAAACGAAATGCACCAAAAGCTTGCAGCTTAGCAGGATATACTCCCGTTTGCTCCTACAAGTGTATACTCCAGAGGCAATTCGCCAAAGCTGCAGAAGGACGCATATGTACATTCACATTGCTGCCGCTGTAGGCAGTATGCGTAGGTATCAGCCGCCCCACCTGACCTGTCTTGTGGCGGCAGTACTGGAGGGGCATCGCTACAAAATTCTCAACAGTCCCTGTTCCCACTGTGGCCAGTGCTGTAAAACTGCATGCTGCGTTGGCTGCTCCTCTGGCTGCATGCATGGCAGCAACCACTATCGGCCATCGTCCAGTAAGCAATACTTTGGGCATTGTCAAACGATTACCACAGCACTTAGGTCAGAGCCCATGCACGAATATATTAACGATCACCAAAGCTGATGCATTCTTCGCAGAAGCCAAACGAGGCGTCCGCTCGCGCCTCTCAGGTCATGCGTGGCGGAAGGGAATGCCAGCATGCGGCATAATGGCAACTCCCGGCCAATCGGCGTGGTTAGTTTCGAGGTGATTGCATATCACACACATCCTATCAACATATATCCGTTCTTGGTCTCTGTATCCAGGCTAACATGGTCAATCGAAAGGAAGCAGCAGCAGGTCTTCGGTGGCATCTGGCGGCGAGGCCATCAATCTACACAAATCTCGCTTCGTGCCCGGTACACGCAGACAACGAAGAGAAAGCAACTGCAGGCAGATCTGCAATTCCATTGAGAAGCTTGGTGCAGAGGGAGCTAGTGTAGGAGGCACTCTTCTCCCGTTTATTTTGTCGCTTCATAGCAAAGACGAGTGATTTTCCGGAAGAGAGGTTGCGGCTGAAACCTGGCTCCCTTAGTGTAGATCGACGCCGATGCACTAGGTGGCATATAATGGCATGACAGAGCGCCAGACACGGGATGTGGCTCGCCGATTGGATCGACACAAGACAGGTAGCATCTACATGTTGCGAAATGCTAGTCGCTGCTTGTATTCGCTCCGGCTCCCCTCTTGCCTCGTGGCATGCATCATCAGCTGCTCTGGTTGAAGCTGGTGGGAATTGTGAGGGAGGTGCCAGAAATCGGTGGCCGAGTATAGTGTGTCCGAGTGGCAAAAATCTGCTCTACGGTTTTTTCTATTCGCCACAGCGCCCTGGTGCAGACAACCGAATATGCACAGATATCGATAAACAAGCGGCAGAGATGCCCACTGCAGCAGCACGAGCCCGCCTATTGCCTTGCTTTATCTTGCCAACAGGACCATGTGGCGGAGGATGCTGAGGGTAATGCTGCTCTTGGCGGCCTGGGTGCTTAGATATGGTTCGGGAGGTAGATTGTGACCTAGCATAATGATCCGTAGCGCTATGGGGACATAAGCGACTTTGGATGGTAATCTAGGTGCGTGGTAAACAACTTTTTATAAGAGGCATGATAGAGATAGCAGAAGTGAGTTGGACCTAGGTCCGAGAGCTCGTACTACCTACAATAAAGCCTCTACGTACAATGATAGTGTTTCCAAATCCTCGCCGCGATTCTGCTGCACCGAGGGATGCGGTTGGGGCACCTTGTCCAGTTAGGGGTGCATCAGCCCTTTTCTCTTTTCATCGGTTCTGCTGCTGTTTGGTGGAGGTATATGGCCGCAATCGATGCTGCACGATAAATTATGTGCACATATGACTGGAGCACCGACAGCAGACGCCCGGGCAATGCTGTCGTGTGAGTGCATGGCCGTGCCGCAAAAGCAGCAAGTGTGGTGATAGCATGTGCAGCTAGATACAGGTATGTTACTAGATGCGAAAATTACATTGTTGTTAACCGATAAGACAGCTGGTTTATGTTGGTGCGCATATGGCACGGGTATAGACACGAGGGGTGCCAGTAGCCTCTCACCCCTCCTTCCAGGTGTGGCTGCACTCGGAGTTGCAGCACTTGAAGAAGATGGTTGCCGGCTCATCGAGGGACCGGAGCTGGATCTGCATAAAGTAGGCTCGTTGGTGCTGGCACTTGGGGCATGGTGTCTCGATCGAGTCGACGTTCTTCCACGCCTCCTCGCCGCCCAGCACATCGTCCACCTCCTTGCGCTTGAGGATTGTGCGTGAGATCATCTGCCGCCGGATCGGGAACTGGTACGGACACGTCTGGCACACCAGACACGTCTCGCCGTTCTCGCCGACGCCGTTCTCCACCAGGAGCAGGTTCGAGCACGACGGGCAAAAGTGCATTGCTGACTGAGGCTGCGAATCGGGGGGGGGGACGAAAAGCAAAAGAGAGCAAGGTGGGCGAAAAGTGTGGCTCCAAGAGCACGAGAAAAGGTCGGGCTTTGGCGGCGCAGCCAATCACGGCTGTGTCTGGGGGAGGGGAAGTGCCAGCTGCGGTCAGCTGCTGCCTAAGGCCAGCCGTGATCCGCGGCGCCTGGTGAAACGCCCTTTATTTCCCAACCCCCGATTTTCGAATCCATCCAAAAATGAGGTACGTCGACGGATACGCCGCGGAAATAGTGCGCCGGAGCTGCTGGAGCCGCTGACGGATTTTCTTTGTGGGTGACGGACCGAGGCAGGGGCATGCGCGCAGAGGGCAGAGGCGGCAGACATTGGGCCGGAATCGGCATTGGCCTGCGTGCACCCTCAGCCTCGGCACCTTCCCACTCAGCAGCAACCAGCACACGCACATTCGCACATATGCGCATGCATGTACGCGTCTATGCACGCCTGTGCACCAAAGAGCCCTTTCACACAGCCTAATTCACCCCACTCTACAACCACTGCTTCACCACACCCTGTAGCGGAAGCAAGATTCAGGTTGCTGCTGTGCGCGAGGAGGTCCGTGCCCTCCTTGCTGCGTCTGCCGAGAGCAAGCGCAAGTTTGTCGAGACTGTCGAGCTCCAGATCGGTCTGAAGAACTACGACCCGCAGCGCGACAAGCGTTTCTCGGGCACCATCAAGCTGCCCCACATCCCGCGCCCCAAGATGACCGTGTGCATCCTTGGTGACGCCCACGATGTCGACAAGGCCAAGGCCATCGACATGCCGTTCCGCTCGGTCGAGGACCTCAAGAAGATGAACAAGAACAAGAAGCTCATCAAGAAGATGGCTGCTTCGTACGATGCGTTCATTGCCTCGGAGGCCCTCATCAAGCAGATCCCGCGTCTGCTGGGTCCTGGTCTGCACAAGGCCGGTAAGTTCCCCACCCCCGTGTCGCACACCGACGACCTCACTGCCCGTGCCGACGAGATCCGTGCCACCATCAAGTTCCAGCTCAAGAAGGTTCTGTGCCTGGCCGTTGCCATCGGTAACGTCAGCATGGAGGAGGACGAGGTTCTCGGCAACATCATGCTTGCTGTCAACTTCCTGGTGTCGCTGCTCAAGAAGCGCTGGCAGAACGTCAAGTCGCTGTACATCAAGAGCACCATGGGCAAGCCCCACCGCCTGTACTAAGCAGCGCATTCCTCTCTGCCCCCCAGCAGCCGTGTCCATCTAGTGGTTGTTTGACGCAGTGGTTCTGAGGGCAGGGCCGGCTATATTCTGGCGACTTCCGCTCAACTCTTTCACCTGTACCAAGTTCACATTGGGAATATTGTACAGTTACCAAAGCGCAGTTCCTAGTTTCCTCGTCCTTCTTTCGTGTGGCGGCTGTCCTGTTAGCAGGAGGGCTTGCCACCGGGCGTGGAGCTGGATACCTGTTATCCACCTAGGGCGCGTCTCTTGGGAGCTTTGTAGCTGGTCTCTTTTCTCTGAGTTGCTGCTCAAATAAACACGCTGTTGGACATAACCACCATGTCGACCACGACTGCAATTTGTCAATTCCATCACCCCCCACCACTGCTGAAGATTATGCAGTCTATATCGTGAGACCATCTAGTTATGCTTTTCAGTCGCAAATTTTCACCAGTCATGAGACACGCATCCAAAAAGCCAATTGCCTAGCACCCATCGTGGCCAGCCATGGACTGCGGGAACCAGCAAAGCGTGTGCTGACTACACAGTGAGCTCCAATTGTGAAGGCGCGCCAGCCTAGTTAACTGACAACACTATCAATGTCTTCTCAAAG